GGGGAAGAGAAGCTTGAGAGGCGATCTCATCAACGTGTACAAGTATCTGAAGGGGGAGTGTCAAGAGGATGAGGCCAGCCTCTTCTCCCCGGTGCCCAGCGACAGGACAAACGGCAATGGGCAGAAACTGAACCACAGGAAGTTCTGTCTGAACATGAGGGAAAACTTCTTTCCTGTGAGGGTGACGGAGCCCTGGAGCAGGCTGCCCAGAGAGGTGGTGGAGTCTCCTTCCCTGGAGATACTCAAAACCCGCCTGGATGCGATCCTGGGCAATGTGCTGTAGGTGACCCTGGTTGAGCAGGGGGGTTGGACTGGATGATCTCCAGAGGTCCCTTCCAACCTCAACCATTCTGTGATTCTGTTAATGTAGTTGCCAATACCTAAAAGCCGATGATGAAAAAAAAACCCAACTTTCCACTAACTGAAATTCTATTCCCTAAAAAGCGATATACCCATCACTTAACTTAAACTTGGAAAATGCTCAGATAAGGTCATAGCAACTCCCATAGCATCAGCTGAAGAACTTAAAGCATCACTTCAAAAACTTGCCACTTACAATATAGACTATGACAAAAAGGTCTTTCTCATTTCCCAATTACCAATACATCAGTAGCAAGAATAATCAAGAGACGGTACAATTATCTGGGGCTGCAAAAATAATTTGCAGCATTTTCTATCACATTCTGACTTTTTTCTAGCTATTCAGTGCTGGCTTTAAAGCTATGAGCTGAAACCTGAACTAAACCTTAAATCTGTTTAGAAATAGCCTCTGTTACATACTACAAACCCCTTGTTAAATTGCATTTTTTTGAAGAATTATCTTTGTTCTTTTGCACAGGCTACTAATTAGATTATTGGATGAAGAGGTGATTACCCTTCCTTTTATTCTCTGAACTGCCTTTGGACCTACCTGGAGATCAGTGAAAAAAGGAAGCTCAAACTTTCAGTGTTAAAAAATAATATGCTATAGGCACCCTTGAAAGAGAGGGCCACAGGGTTTTGAAATCTACAGTCTCCACACGGGAAGAGGGAGATATAGGAATCTCCAGCCCTTGTATTGGCCTGAAGTAGCAAAGATGTCTGGCACTTCATAGGGTAGAAGGGAATAACAGAGCCTAGTCAGAGTTATACTGGGTTTCTGTAGAGATCTTGAGGAGGGGTGGTGGGCCTATGGCAGGTCTGCCTGGTCCACACCTTCTGTCTCTAGCCCTGCAGAGACTCCTGTATGATGCAGATAGCCTGACACACTCCTTCTCCTACCTCTCATGGCTATGGTATGTCCAGCAGCTCTTTATTACTGGCTCAGGACGTCTTCCTCAAGACCTCTCTGAGCTGCCAGTCTTTCATGAGGGACTCTTCGGGGCTTGGAAGATCTTCAGAACAGCCAGGTCCCCCCAACAACAGAGGGAGGGAGGCAAATCTCTGGGCTGAGCCACAGCTCCCTCTTGCACATCACACACTTCTGCAGGCAGGTGGCTGAGGGTTCTTCAGTACGCCACAGGACAGCTGCCACGTAAGGTAGAAACCTAATTAACTACGGAAAGCGGGACAGAGCAGGCCCCAGGTTGCTTGCCCAGCACATGGAGTGCCAGACCATGCAGTGGACCATTTGCTCCAGGAGGCAAGGGCTGCTCTAAATCCCACTCTTACCCTTACCGACAGTTTGTACCACCCCTATTCCTCTGGAGCTGCTCATCAAACCCTTAGCCCATAAGCCTCTCTCCCGCAAGCCATTTTCACAGGCTGCACAAAAACCAGCAGTCGAGCTCTGCCCGGTGTCACAGGGACATTGCTGTATGCACCTGAGCTCTTCCACACCCCTGCATGATGCCCACTCACAAAGCAATGGGATCGCTTACCCTGGGGAGAGGGTGAGGAGCCCCTCAACACCAGCCAGGGCTTAACAGCTGGTATCGCAGCCCACTGGAGCTGTAAACCAGTGATACAAGCACAGCCCACTGGGGATACAAGCTGGAGAGGACCCCTCACATTTGCAGCATCCTCTGACTTGTGCTGCCAGGAGAAGACCCAGGCACGCAGGTAGGACAAGTGCCCACGTGAGGCAGAAACTCCCACGGTGGTTCTGCTGCGTTTTCTCCCCTTGTCCTTTTATTTACCCCACCCTGGCCACGGGCTCTGGCCCTGCCGAGCGCACAGGCGGGCTCTCCCTGCTCCCTCCTTCCCCCAAGCCCCCGCCCAGACCCCCGGGGCAGTGACTCGGCCTGG